TTGGATTGGTTTAGAAATTTCACATTCAGTTTCTTTTTACTCTAATAAATCTACATGCCTGCCTATATTTAGCTCAAAATGTGTTTGTGGCATGCGCCCGCCCCCCGGGCCCCGACGATGACGGCCGCGAGAGTCGGCAGGAAGGCGGGGCCCGAACACCCAGCGGCCAGGGGCAGGAAGAGATCCGCGAGTGTGGAGGGGGCGGAGCGAAAAGCCCGAGCTCTTCAGAGTGGCGCCAGTGACGGCGGGAGGAGGAAGACGACGACGGTGCCGGTAACGAGAGGCACCAGGGGAAGGAGCGAGTCCCGAGCTCCGCCGCCTGGGCCCCGCCCCCTGTTACGCAGCGAGGCCGCGCCACTACACCTCACCTTCGACCCAGGCGGCTGAGCCGCCAGCTGGGGGCGGTGACGAGGAGGCGGAGCAGCGAGCTCTCGGTCCCTCTCGGCTCAGGTGCTCGTGAGCGCCTTTTAAAAGAGCTGAGAGGGAACAGAGAGAGAGAGAGGGACACGCAGCAGCAACAAGAGACTGAGGAGCTGGAAAGCTCCTTATTGAGGATAAAGGGCCTGAAGCCACTGAAGAGTGGCCAGCTTAGGTTCTTTGTATTGTTCGGTTTGTCTGTTTTTGGTTGTTTTGGATTAAAGAGATGGCTGCTGCAACCCTAAACCCTGCCTCCAGCGTCCTCCTTGAGCCCCGGGGTAGCACATGCCGTGCTACAGTGTTGTTTGTCCTTTAAGTCTACTGATTTCCCTGCTCAAACACAACAACTGAATCTGGCAATTAACTGGTGGGTTGAATGCAGTGTGTTTAATCAAGAAAATCACCACATTGTGGACGAATCCAGCCCCTCCAAGACTGACGTTCTTCACCGCTATGTAGTCTGAGATCTGTTTTACAGTTACAGGGATAAAGATTTATGAAAATGTTGAAAACTTGATCCATTAAGAGGTCAGAATTCTACTGACAAGGTTCAGAGGGCAAATAACAGGACTGCTGAAGTATGGGGGAAAAAGTTGTGAAATAATGTATTAATTCATTGTGTTAATAATATGTATAACAATAGTGTGTTAAAGCTACAACAAGGACAACAAAAGCACTAACACTGTTTTCCTAGATACTGGGTGCACACATCTTCTCTAAAATTCACAGAGACCACTTTAAATGCAAGGCCATACTGTCAATGACACTTTTAAACACTTTTAAAAATTCTGTTCACTTTCTTTACATTTAAATTGCTTGGAAATGGTGCCGTGCCAAGCCTCTTCTACTGTAGTATAGAGTCATACTAATTCTGGAGTGGCGAGTGAGGGGTGTGTGGGTGAGATAGTGAGAAGAGAAGTTGGACATAAGGTAAATATAATAGCCAGTGGGACCTTTTCAAACTCCCACAGCAGAACAAATGAAAGGCTCTTGTGGTGTAGAACAACACAAACAACTCACACACAAAAAAAGAGTGTGTTTCCCAAATTACAACAGCAATTCAGTGCCCACCAGAACAGACACACAAAAATTAGAGCAAGACATGTGTCAGAGCAAGAGTTCAGGAGCCAGAAACAAAGAGAGTCAAAGAAAAGTAGAAGAAGAAACAGAGAAACACAGAAAGACAAGACACACAGAAAGAGACAGATAAAGAGTGACTATAAGAGGCTGAGACAAAAGAGAGAAAGATGTGCAGTCAGAATAATTGGCTTCTTACAAGCCTCAGTTCCAAAAAAGTTGGGGCAGTAAATGAAATACTAAAAACAGAACGCAATAATTAGTCAATTCTATTGAATTGCTTTACCAAACAAACCTTATCATTCCAAATGTGATGCCTGCAATACATTCTAAAAAAGTTAGGACACAAGAGTGTTTACCCCTGTGTTACATCACCTTTCCTTTAAACAGGAGTGAATAATCATTTGGAACTAGAGATTTCAGTTGTTTCAGTTGGTTTTGAAAGTGGAATTTTTGCCTTTTTTTGTTATGCAGGTTTTCAGCTGCACAACCATACAGGGCCTTCATTGTTGTATTTTGTGCTTTGTGATGCACCACAGATTTTCAATAGCAGAGAGATCTAGACTGCAGGTAGGCCAGTCCAGCACCTCCACTCTTTGATTACACTGCCATGCTGCCATGTAGCACATGCAAAATTTAGCTTGCCAGTGTCATGTTAAAATAAGCATGGTTAAAATAAGATGTTGTCTAGAAGGCAGCACATGTTGTTCCATAATGTGTATACATCTTTCAGCATTCACAAATGTGCAAGTAGCAAGTAACTGGCTTTGGAGCTTTATGCTGGTAAAAATCTGGATGGTCATTTTCTTTTTTGGCCTGGAGAACAAATATCTATGGATAATCCAGTATTACCATAAACAAATCTGAACGTTTGGCTCATCAGAATGCAATAAACATTTCCACCATGCATCAGTCTGTTGCAAATGAGTTGAAGCCCAAACAAGTTGGTGGCATTTTCAGACATTTTTGACATATAACTTATACTTGCATGGTACACTCTTAACTTGCATGTGGCAAACGGAGTACATTGGCAACAATTCATCAAAGTTTTTCTTAGCCCACATAGTGATACCCATCACAGAGCATGCTGGTTTTTAATGCCCTGCCCTCTGAGGGATCAGTTGTGGTTTTCAGCTTTGTCTTTTACACATAGGGGTTTATTTTTGATGTTATTATGCACTGCAAATTGTGAAATACCTAAAATTCTTGCAATCAATTATTGAGGAATGTTTTTCTTAAATTGTTGAATTTTTCACTGATTATTTTTTTTTGCCTTGACCCATCCTTGCTATCACATATGTTGTTTGAACATTTTACAACCTTTCTAGTTTTAAATTGCTCCTGTCCCAACATTTTTGGAACATGTTGCAGGCATCAGTTTCAGAATGAGCATAAATTTACAAAAAGCAATGAAGTTGTTACAGTAAAATACTTAATATCTTGTTTTTTGTTCAAAAATAGCTCAAAGTGGATTTACAAATCTTTTCTTTTCTTACTGGTCCAACATTTTTGGAAGTGAAGTTTGTTTTTGGTCATTTCATATATGCAATCTGATTTTTCATTGGAATGCACCTGCCAACTATATTTAAACATTTTTAATGAGTTATCAAAATACACACAAAGAGTTTTAATCCTTAAAATTTGAGATTTATTACTTTTGTTTTGCTATATTACTCAAATATGATTACATAATTCCCCCTAAAAACCCAGGTTAATCAAATTCTTAGACTAATTACTCAGCAACTTCTAAGGTGTAGAGGTGTGTAAGAGAAATTTGGACCCATTGACATATAATAATAATTCATATTGAATTACACCATGCTTTTGTTCTCGCCATGATAGCTGAAAATTCTAAGGGTTTTTAAGTACCATTCTTATGCAGATGCAATGAGAGAGTGGGCACAAATGAGTCAAAACACAACCAACCAGTTTAATAGATCAACTCTATCTGAAAAGCATTAACCACTCTAATGAACCTAGATCAGCTTTTTCTGTTCTGTTCTGACTGGTTCCAAGGCTGGAGCCCAGGTGAAATGCATTGCATACACTATACTATCAAACTGGACGAACATAAAGAAGGAACATAGAATAGAATAGAATAGAATAGAATAGAATAGAAGCATTAAAAATATGCTGTTGGTATAACAGCAGGATGGGCTGAGTGAGATTATGTTAGTCAATTTTCTCTGATGTTTTGTTATAGGATTTATAATGAGCTTGATCATGAGAGGGTTGTTAAAGAGGGAGATAGAGGATGGGAAAGGGTGGTGACAGTAAGAGAGTGGGAGTGAGAGAGTTAGGAGCAAGAGAGAGGGGATAAAAAGGAGGGGTAGCTATTGGACGATGAGAGAGAGGCAGAGGTATAGATGGAGAACAAGGGAGGGAGAAAAAAGGGGGAGCAGAAGCAGTGCTGGCACTCTGCAGCATGCTGCCGCCTCATTAGGAGCTGTACTTCCCTGGAGAAGAACACGCTGAGGAACATTATACTGCTTTGGTAAATCTCTACCCCAGCACTCTAATCTTTTCTACAAGACCAGAAGAGTCAAAAAGATGTAGTCATGGTAAGTGTCTGTAATTTTCACCTTTTACTTCTATGATGGTCGCTGCAGCTCCAAGAGCATCCAACAGAAAATGCTTGAAAGTTGCTTGAAAGAGTTTTTGTTTATGGCACTCAAGTAATCTCTCACATTTGCATTTTATTTCTCTCATTTCATTGTTAAATTTAAAGTAGTTTGTTCATGCTTGTTTTTTTAATACTATGAGGTATTAAGCTTTTATAAAATAGGATTTCTCAGTTAACCAAATAACTTAAACCCAAAGTCTAGGTTGTCCAATAAAGGAAAGCTTGCATGATTGTTGCTGTAAGTCTAGTGCAAAACAAAAAATGGTGAGGTGGCAAAGTGTATATATATATATATATCGCTGTTATATCGCTATATAGCCTCGTATCTCACTTTACTTACAATGTAAGTCATTTTTGGTCATTTCTTTTAGTCCAATCATTATGAAATTTACATGAAATGTATAGGGTAACAGGTTTTTGAACTGATATATATATATAGTGGATATTGTCAGTCCTTAAAGAAAAAAAATTACCAACTGCACGCTTCATTACATAATAACATAAGAGACCATAATAATAATGGTGTTTAACTGAATTTTGTGAAAAATAAAAAGAATTGTTTTCATAGTTGTTTCATAGAAATATTCAAATGTGGCACTGCTTGTTCTTTTTTCTCTTCTTTCAAAATGATCAAACTTTAGACAAACTAAATCTCATGATGTATATCGTGTATTCTGGTATTGTGATGTTATATTTTTGCCATACCATCCAGCCCTATGCTGAAGTGTTACTATATGTCTATATGTCTCTCAAAAAAAAAAATTTCTACTCTTTTGATTGCTTTTTTTATTGCAGGGTCTCTGTTGTGTCATCTCATACTGAAGAAAATCTCACCAGAGACCCTTCATCACTGCAGGAGAAGAAGCAGCCAGTTTCTCCTACAATGGAGAATGTTACTCTCAGCACCCTCATGAATTTCACCAACAGTGAACCTTTGGCTAAGATGCCTGAGAACTCTCTGGAAGTCCAGGTCATCACCATATTCCTCACATTGCTGATCTGTGGGGTAGGAATAGCTGGCAACGTCATGGTGGTCTTGGTGGTTCTCAGAACCAAACATATGATGACTCCAACCAACTGCTATCTGGTTAGTTTGGCTATTGCAGACCTCATCGTTCTCCTGGCTGCAGGACTGCCCAACATCTCTGAGGTCGTTTCTTCTTGGATCTATGGCTATGCTGGCTGCTTGTGTATCACCTACCTGCAGTACCTGGGCATCAACGTTTCCTCTTGCTCTATCACAGCTTTCACCGTTGAGCGTTACATTGCAATATGCCACTCCATCAAGGCGCAGTTCATATGCACTGTGTCCAGAGCCAAAAAGATCATTGCCTGCGTTTGGATTTTCACCTCTGTCTACTGCATCATGTGGTTTTTCCTTGTTGATACAGATGAGATGGTTTACGCTAATGGAGTCGTTGTCCGATGTGGCTATCGGGTGTCGAGGAACCTCTACATGCCCATTTACTTTCTGGACTTCACATTGTTTTATGTGATTCCACTGATAGTAGCTACTGTGCTGTATGGGCTGATTGCTAGAATACTCTTCATGAACCCATTACCTTCAAATTTGTCAGAAAGAGGAAACGATTCGATCCACCAGGGGCGGACGAACAGCACAGTGAAAGTCTCCTGCAAACCGAACAAGGGTGCAGTTTCCTCCAGAAAACAGGTGCAGCAGTATTTCATATGACTAATCGGAAGGGATTAAAATGATACTTAACCATATAATAATACTAAATGTCATAAACTGCTGGTGATTTATCAGGCAGTCCTCTGGTTCCAGCAAGTAACAGCTTGAAAATGGAAGATTTTCTTAAACAAATTTTGATCGGGTAACTTCCAAACATGCACACATGCTCTCACTCCTTTCTGTCTCTGAGCTGGAAGTCATAATTACATTCATTCCTGTAATTTTTTTTTTCTCCACATATTTAATACGAAGAGTTGAAAAGTCTTATATTAACATAATTAGTCACATCAAAGCTGCACAGTCAGATAACAAGAGCAGTGTTTTTTTTTATTCTCATAACTTATTTACAAGAAGCATTATATAAAACATTCAGGTTTTGTATTACCATCATACACATCACAACGACAAATATTCTTAGAATATAACAATAACTTCTTAATGAAGCCAAAAGCTGTCTGTTGCCTCAGACAGATGTTTTCTGTGAAAGAAATTAGGGGAAGCTGTGAGCCAAAAGACCATGACATCAAATATGACAGATGCAACATTCCATCAAAAGCTGCTAATAGCTTGGCCCTCTCAAAGGACAAAACTGGGCGGCACCCACTGTTTGATTCTCTTACTATGTGCCCGAATACAGGAACAGCATAATATTTGTGCAGATTCACTACTTTACCTTTTATTTTAATGTTAACTATAGCCACTGTTGTGTGTAGTGCTTTATGGGAAACATCCACTTATGAGCAACTAAATGTTCACCACAAAAAGTGTTTGGATTGCTCAGTCAGATGAGTCATATTTAGTATACTCCACCATTTGAAAGTTTGGAATCACCCCTAAAAAGTTTGGAATCACTGTTTTTGATCATAAAAATCCAATTTTCTTGCAAATACAAGTATATAATGGTTCTAAAATGTTGCCAATATTCATGACAAGAAATTACTATAAATACATAAGTTTATTATTTTATAACCTGCAATGGACTGGTGACCTGTTCAGGGTGCTTCCTGCCTTCCGCCCAATGACTGCTAGGATAGGATCCAGCATCCCTCCATGACCCAGAAGGATAAGCGGCCTAGATAATTTTGTGTGTGTGTGTGTGTGTTGTGTGTGTGTGTGTGTGTGTGTGTGTGTTTCATAACATTTACTGTCAGCTTTACATTGTTCTCACAATCCTTTAAACTGTGAATGAATTAATTGGTTTATGTTTTGGTGTCTACTTGATGTTACAATATACACTGTATGTGTTATTATTGAAAAATAATCATTAATATAAAAAGTAATTCCACATTTTTGAGTGGTAGTGTATTTTACAATATGTGGGAAATAGTAGGCATAGAGTTCCAATGACTGATTTTCACAATAGATACAACAAAACATCCTCATTTTAAAGCAAAAAATGTATAAGGTGAACATCCAAAGTACTTATTTACTTGAAAATTTCTGGAATCAGGCATATTTAAATATGTGCTGAAAAGCACAATTCTAACCTTTTCACCAAAGTAATTTGAAGTAATTAGATACTTCAAGCTGGTTTCATGTGGGAAAATACTTTCAGCATTCAAATACGTAGCATTTTTCTTTTACTCTAAAAGGAGACAAACCTGGAGGGTCAATAAAATGGCCAGAAGAAAATGATATGAGATTGAAGAAGATAAAGATTGCTTCATCAACATGTTTATATAGGATGCCTTCTTCCTATAGACTGTAGTTCAATTCACATGTCCATGCTCCAAAGGTGTTCTTTTATAGCAACTAGCATCTTAAGCTTTACATCACACTGGCAAAATACTATTAACCCCTTAAATGGCCAGGACCCACTGACTGGCCAAAAGTTTTATTACACACTTCTATAACCTAAGAACAACTCAACCAGTTGGCACTGAAGTCCCTGTAGTTAGTAATTAATAAGTCTTAGAATATAATAGGCCTGAAATTTTAAGGGGTTCACCTTCTGAGAAACTGTAGTGATCTTTGTTTAGATTTGCAGGGAACATTGAGTTTCTACCTATAATATGTTGTTGTAGCTATTTGAAATTAGCCAGGTTGTCAATGACACTGACACCAGCACAATTACACAATCTGATCTATCCGAATAGCGTGTCCTTTTATTTGAATACAAACAAAAAATAAAATCATTTGAAATCAATAATGCACTGCAAATTTTGGTATTTTGACGTGCGCTACAATTTCTCATTAGGTTGAATTGGAAACCACTTGTGGGCACAGTTGAATAGTTCAGTTGTGACTATAGACATAGTAACTCATGTTTGTATCATGGTTGTATTTAGTTACCATTCATTTTTCTTCAGTGCTGTTGCTTTCTCTTTGCTTCTGTAGGTAACTAAAATGCTGGCGGTAGTGGTGGTCCTGTTTGCTCTGCTGTGGATGCCTTATCGCACTCTGGTGGTTGTCAACTCACTGATGGACCCTCCCTACCTCAACACCTGGTTCCTGCTCTTCTGCCGGATGAGCATCTACACCAACAGTGCCATCAACCCCATCATATACAACGCCATGTCCCAGAAGTTCCGCACAGCTTTTAAGAAGCTCTGCCACTGTCAGAGTGGCTCCAGCAAAGAGAAGGCAGCCAAACACAGCGCCCCTGTCTACTACAGCGTCATCAAAGATTCGTCCCATGAAAGCCCGGAGTATGAGACGGAGCAGGAGGACGTTGGTGCGTATAATGTCTCGACCAAGAGGGTGAACTTTTCCGATCAGGCTGGAGGAGCGGTCGCTGCAGGCATGTTCAGTATTGCTTGAAAAAAGAGGTGGACACTGTGTGGGTTGAGGGAGGTGGGGAGGGTTGACTCAACTAGAGAAAATTGGGATTGTAAGAATATTCGTGAGGATTTAATCAAACATTTGAGATCTCTCATCGTCAGTGTCTCAGTGGTACATATATTTAAATATTTTTTTGTATTGACTACTATATGATGGTAGCAGATGAGGTTGGCAGCAATTTATGGGTAAAGTGATTTTTTTATGTAAAAAGTGACTTTTACTCTCAGCTTGAGAGTCAACAAGACAAGCACTGTTTAGCTGATCTGATAGCTTTTAAAACCACACAACCACCACAGTTCTGCCTGATGGCCTTGCAAAAGCAAGTGTGAACTCCTTTGGAGAAGATTTGCAACATCCAGCGCCAAGCATTTCACACCTGCATGCTGTACCAAACCACCTTCACTTGTGCAGTCAGAACTAGCAGACTCTGCATGCATACAAAGAGGAATTATCTACATGAGACCACTGTAAAGTGAGGGTTCCGAATTAGTGGTCTGCTTAGTGGGACCTGGAGTTTGGTTCAGAGTTCGAAATAACAGACTGATTCAAAGCATATTTGCTTAACATTTGATATCAGGATGTCATTCAACAGGAACATGTACACTCTTAAAAAAGAAGGTTTATCAAGGGTTTTTTTTAGTGAGGAACCATTTGCATGCTTAAAGGTTCTTTGCATGGTGATACATTCTTCAGACTGATGGAGAATGTATTATATATGCACCAAAAAGGGTTCTTTTGTTGTTGAGCTTGACATCAGGTTCTATATAGAACCATATACAACACATTCTCCTTCAATCTGAAGAACCATTTCACTATGCAAAGAACCATCAAGCATGGACAAGGTTCTATATAGAACTCATTATTTTAAATAGAACCATTCCAATACCGAAGAACCCTTGAAGAACCATCTTTTTTAAGAGTTATGAGAATTACCATGATGATAGACATTTGTAATGTTATGTTTGATGTAGGGTGCACTGATATGGGAATTGAGAGACGATATTGACAATTTTTTAAGTGCATATCCGATATATCTGATATCAATCTGAAATATTGGTCAAATCTGACCATCTGTCCAAGGCCGATAATTGCTTTTATGCAATTATCTGCTGACGCCAACATGATTCCGATATCATCGTGCATTCCTAGTGTGGAGTGAAATCATGTTTGTGGGACGTGCAGCAGTCACGTGATTGTGGTTTTTGTTCAGTACACTGCTAATGAACCTGTGTAAAGCCTAACTGGACCACGTTCATAAAAATAAATTGTATGAACTTTTTTTTTAGTCTCAGAAGCAAATTTCTGAGTTTAGCAGGTACTTATGTGTTAAGACATCCTCTCGTAAGCAGCACAGTCATATGATACCATAAAATGATTGGCTTTTCAGTATGAGTGTGAGCAACGAATGATGTGGCTGATTTAATTCAAGCTGTATGTGTCCACTGCACACGACGCAAATATTTCCTTCTGCTCCCTTTGCCAGTGCCTCACCGAGGGGCCTGTCTGTCTAAAACACAGGACACAAATGACCCTGTCAATCACTTATTTCTCATAAAATTCAGTCCTAAAATAGACCTCTTGAACTAAATATTTCTGTAAAGTGTATTAGACATGTACAAAGCCCCGGAAAGAACATGGGTAAAAAAAAAATCCTGACCTGAAGTTTTTTTTCCATTATAATAATTTCTCAGATACACAGCTTTCTGCACCCCTGAAAAAATGGACAATGGGATTAGGGAGATATTAAGGAATGAAATGCTGCCTGACTGGCATATTGGTGCCATCTAAAGGGTGGAATGGGAAATGTGCTTAAGTTTTCCTATATGTCTTGAGAAAATTATCTCAACATAATTATCCTGAGATAACTATCTCATTTATCCTGAGATAATTATCTTGAGATAGTTAATTTAAGGAAAAAAAAATAAGGTCATTTTGCAGGCAGGAGTTTTTACCCATTATTGAAAACCCATGTCACTGTATTTTTTAAGCCATATCCTTTTTGGGGCTCTGTAGACGTGTGATAGTTTATATATTCTCAGCTATTTTCCATAAAACGACACAGGTTCCTGACCAAACAGGCAATTTTTTAGTTTTAGTTTGGCTCTAAATACAGAGATTAGATGCTCTGAATAAGCTACACTATGCAGTGTCGTGGCAGCTGCGAGAAGCCTGAGGAGATCCATAGTTTAAATACATAACCATTTTCATCAAGATGGAACTATGTAGATCTGCATACGGACAATGGAAATTTATTTTGTCCAACTAGTCAACCAGCTCAACCAGTTTAACTTGAAACCAGCTCAATTTTTCCCCACCATGTTGATGCCACTTACTATCCCATAATTCCTCGCACATTTTTTGGCTACCCACGCCCCCCCTTGAAAATTAACATTTTAAAAACCTGGTCTTATTACATACTAAGGCTTATTGTTCAATATCTATAGGGACTTTAGTGTAAAATGGCTGATCTTTTCTTAGGTTATAGAAGTGTGTAATAAACCTTTGGGCCAGCCTGTAGGCCCTGACTGCAAAATACTGGAAAATGAATTTGCATGCAGTGGACATGTACCATAAGAGAACATCAACTTTCTATAAACCAATGACAGAAGAAATCACAATTTAAAAATATATATATTTTCCTATTTTTCCCTAAAAAGACTACTCATATTCTTTGAAGCTGCATATTAGTGTCTTTAAATAATCTCAGAATTCATATTGTTAACTATGTAAAAAGTATGTGCTCTGGGAGTCAATCAGTTTTGTCTTAGTTATAAAATTTTGAAGCCTTTCATTAAAATAATGAATTGTGAAAAGAATGTAAATACTGGAGTGTTGATGAACATATTTATTGTTTTATGAGTATGAACTGTTTGTCATTATGAATTTCAGAATTAACTAAATATGTATGTCAGTATGCAACGTCAGTATTGTAATCAGTGCTGGTTAATCAATGACAGGAACAGTCCATTAAGAGAACTCTTAACTTGACAAAGGAGGAAGAGCTCTTTTTGATACTTTTTGGCCACATTTTTACGCTAACTTTAAACTTTTGTCCAATACACACAGAGACTATTCAGTAAGTGGTTATTGTTTCATTTATTAAATGGTCGCAGCCCAGTTTTTCTGACAGCATCGTGGATTATGGTTTTCAGAAGGTCTTAACTGTTAGTAAGAGCATAAGAAAGAACAACACAACTAGAAGGAGAATGGATACAAATTGAATGTGAAATCTTTCAAAATGTCAATAAACTGGGCTGTTAGAGCAAAACCTCTCCTTTTTTTACTCCATTTAAAAATGCCAGCTGCTCTTTACATTTCATGATGAACAAAACAGAAACGGTCCAAAATTACCTCAGCAAAATCTTGTTATATTAAATCCTTCCTATATAAATATTTTCGGAGATACAAGGTTTTGTTCTTACAGTGACGATAAACAGGTTTTGATGTTATTATTTGGTCAAAAAAGAGAATGGGAGTATGGGCCTCATTCACCAGTATCATCTTAAGTTTTTTCTTTAATGTGTTCTTGAGAAAGGTCCTAAGAAAAAGTCTATGTAAGATTGATGACTTAAACTGCAGAATTATTCACACTTTTGTGCTCTTGAGTGTGTGCAGATTCTGTTCTTACCTAAGAACAAATCCCAAATAAGAAAAGACTGGTGAATGCCAGAATCTTTGTAAAAACTGTGTAAGTGGGTTTTAAGAAGAAATTTCTTCGTAAGAACGGCTGGTGAATGAGGCCCAATGTTTGTAGCAGCTCCACATTCGATACTGGATATACTTTGTCAGTTTTTTGATTGTGGGTTTAATGAGCTGAACATGCGTGCTAATGTGAAATTAAATGGCTCAGTGTGTTCTGTGTAATACGAACAAAATGTCAGAAGCTGAGTAGCAAGTTATGCTGTATGAATATTTATGCTGTTCCGTGCTCATCAGATTCCAAATTTTGTACATGCTCATAAATTATTGTTCTCATTGGCTGAAAGTTCAAATTGGCTGAAGTTCAAATTCTTCATCCACGTATCCCAGCACTGCTGATAGTAAATGACCTATTACTCTCATGCAAATAAGAACATCACCCATTGTTGATATGGCATAATACATTTTGTATTCTTTAAGTGTTTGAAAAAAGTATTCTAAGTGAAGTATTTATCTTCTGTTGCAAAACTTTTGGTCAGGTTCTTTTTCTCCTTTGTGGCATTAATGTGTGCTGGCATAGATTAACTTACTCATATCCTGCTGTACAGAGAAGACCACCTGAGAATATGACTTAACACATCACTGTTAAAAGATCTGGTCTTTTACCTTAAAGCAGGTAACAAGTCTGCCTTAAAACCTGAAGAATCTAATACTAATTTAATAGAACAATAATATGTGTCTTATATTGCATTAACCTATTATTTAAAGTTTACTCACATCTACATTTTAAGCCACATTGCTTACATTTCACTTACATTCTGATGACCAAGCTTATGGAGGCAAGCCAACTATTACACTATTACACAAAGAAAGAGAGTCAGAATATGAAGTGAGAATAAGGTTGACAGTACATAAAAGTGTCATTTATTCACTTTGAGATAATGTTGGACTAATGTTATAGCCTACAAATGCTAATTGTCTGAGTTACAGCTTACAGTGATGTATGAATTGTGAAATGTGATGTTCTACGCTTGTTTATTTTCTTGTTGTCTTTTCCTTAGATGGCAAATTGCATTAAATTTTCTGGAACATGTATGTGCTAGTTCGTAGTCACTTGTTGCTTTAGTTGCTATGAATTTACTTGATTCAAATATGCACACTGGTTTCAAATGAATTAAATCTACTACATCAACACAATTATTGTCATTCATTTACTAATTTTGGCTGAGAACTGTGGTGATGTAATTTATCGTATTCCTGTGAAATCAGTGCACACATTTGAATCAAGTTAATTTAAAGCAGCACTTTTCACACATTCTGTACAGGATTTGTCAAACACT